CATTCGAGATGCAGCTCTTGAAAGCTATAAAGTAAGGCCAGAATCGCTTGAGGGACTTTTCAACCCGCATCCAGCGAGGTAAAAACGAAAGCGATGCATCCGAAATCGGATTTCCAACTTTGGCAACCGGCGCATTTCCCGACCAAAAATTCAATAAACAAACCAGCCATGAATCAAAGAAGACTGTTGATAGCAGATGTATTTCATTTTAAGCATCCAGTGGAAAAATACAGTAAAAAACATCACAAGTTGACAAAATATTCTGCCAAAATTCGGCCTGATTTGTTTTCCAAGAATTCGATTGTTTTCTAGGCCTAATCTACTGTGATCAAGAGCTATTATGGCTCTTAAATGTGATCGAAGATGATTGCTATTTTTTGGGTGTCTATATACGGCTATCAATTCGATGTAAGATTTTTTTTCAATCTAAAATCACTTAGCCTTAGCTTTCCCTAAAAAGTCACATATGTGCCCTTAAGTTAACTGATTCGTGGATTGCAAGTTTATTGTTTGATTTAAATATTATTAAAGAGAGCTTCGCTTTTAGCCCTGGCTAAATCTATATATTAAGGTGGTAAAAAGAAAAAAATGTTTGAAATATTTTTCCGAATAATATACTCCAAGTGTTATGTGTAATATTCTTTTACAGTCTGTCCAAATACGACAACCTTGAATGAGATTTCAGGGGTCATCACCAGTCCTTTCTACCCCAGATATTATCCTTATCAGAACCAAAGCTGCAGCTGGGAGATCCGGGCAAGAAAAGGAAAACGAATTGTATTTACTATTGAACACATGGATTATTATTATTATTGGTGGTACATTAGCAGAGAGTATTGCTTGCGTTATTATTTGGAAATTCAAGGTGGATCCATTTCAGTCTACGATGGTCCCAAATGGCATTTATGTGTCGCTCCTTTAACAGCCAACGTAATGTACGATTGGTTTAAAGAGCGAATTAAAGTACTATTTTTCTCCGACGGTAGTAGACGACGGCCTCTTAGATTTAGAATATCATATATTCAAGTAAACTTCAGTGTATCCGGTAAGTAAATATTGCTTATTTCCTGTTGTGGAAGTGAAAATGAGAAAACCTGTACGCCAAGCTAAGGATACATCTTTCACTTAAGATTCAGATAACGACAAGTTTTGTTTTCTGTTCTTGCTTTTGTTTGTTTGCTTGCTTTTAACATTTGGGCAATTTGCTTATGATCTGGGTGGGGCACACACTTGCTCCGTGTCATGTTTTGGTTGGTGACTAGTTAACTTAGACCGTAAATGGTGGCCTAAAGATCTGAGTTTCAGGCCTTTCCGTAGGAGAGGGGGGAACAGAAGCGAAGGGGAGAAAGTGCCTCGTTCCTTAAAATCTCCTCTCTTCAATGAGCTATGGAATGCATATTACTCAGGATACATCACTGCGTCACTTGTAATCCTCTTTTAGGATGCTCCAACTACACAACCCTCAACGAGTCCAGCAGAGCAATGACACATAACAGAAGTATTTCTTACCTGTGCGATGCAAATCTTAATGGATGGTACAGATTTAACGGAGAGGCTGGAACGCAAATGGCTGACTCTTGTGTCAACATGTATCATTGCGGCACCGAGTCACCTGGATGGCTGAACGGAACTCATCCCGACTTAACTGATGGGGCCGTTAAACGCCAAGTGTGTTTTAGCTCTTTTGACAACTGTTGCCATCATTCAACTAAAATAACTGTGCAACATTGTGGAGGATTTTACGTTTACAAACTTGAAGGACAATCCCATTGCAATCTGCGTTACTGTGGAAACGGATCGCCATACGCACAAGGTATTAACAAAAATAAAACAACAACAATCGTTTTATTTCATTGTTTGGCAGACGTTTTTGAAAACTTCAATTTCAAAATTCATGCCTCGTTTTTCCAAAGACATTGCATTTTCTAGCAAAATAAGAGTTAAACACTAAGAAGTTTTTAAGAAAATAATATAGAAGCAACTAAGGCTCATATAGTAGTAACTGAAGCTGAACAAGTAGACAAGAATTTGACAGATTGTACTACACGGAGTTTTCCTTTCTTTCATAGAATGTTACAATTACAAAGTTCTTAACGAGACCAGCAGATCGAAAACATACAATGCATCTTATTTTCAATGTGATCGTTTGCTGTCGACCGACTGGTACAGATTTAGTGGAGCAGCTGGAAATCAAATGGCAGAGTCTTGTGTTGATAGGTATCGCTGTGGCACGTATTACCCAGGTTGGCTCAATGGAAGTCACCCCACAGTAAACGAGGGGGCTGTTCAAAGAAGAGTGTGTTTCAGTTATTACGGATACGGCGGTGACTGTTGTTCTTTGTCGACTTACATCAGAGTCCGTAACTGTGGTGGCTTCTTCGTTTACCAACTAAAGCCGTTAACTGCATGTTACTCACGTTACTGTGGCAACGGATATGTGTCATCGACACCAACGACATCAGGTACACTTTTTCCTTCTTTCTGTTTTTTCTTGTTTTAATTTCATTTTCGTTCTGCGGATGAAGCATTAGGCATTCATCGATGAAAGAACAAACTGCTTGCCCTCAAATGGTGAAAATCAACGGCAGCTATTCTAGCGTATTGCCACCCTCCCCTTCCCCTCCACCCCACAAATAAACCCTCTAATGGGAGAATTCATCCACAACCCTTAACGACAACTGTATGGTTGAAATATTGGTTTTCAGTCCTGAAAACTCTAAGTGAGCCTAAAATCTTCAATTCACACCTAAACGAGGCTTCTACGAAGGGAAACAGCTTCCCGCACCAAGAAGAAATGGATCATTATGCGTTTCTGGGAAATTGCCCACCTACCCCTCCCCTAAGCCAACATTAACATTTACTTCTCACTTAAGGAAAAATGTTGACTAAGGGGAGGGTAGGTGGGCGGCCCACCCGATTCTGAAATCTGCTTATCTGGAGCTGAGCTTTCTTACATTCTAGTGATGAAGTTCGTTGAATAAACGAGAAATAATAACATCTATTTCATGATAGATATCTGAATCTTAGGCCCCGTCCACACGTATCCAGATATTTTTAAAAACAGATATCTTTTTCTCCGTTTTCAAGAAAAAATTCGAATCGTTTTCGCACGCTGAAATGAAAGGAATACGATAGGATCCCTTACGGAGCATGCGTGATGCTAGAAGTATATGATGTGATGACATCATCGCATTGGAAACCTTCGCTTTTCGTCCGTCCACACATAAACGAGAAGCCGGCCTTTCCAAAAATCTCCACGCTGGAGAACGTTTTTGAAAAGATGCGTTTTCGGTGACCACTTTCACCGGATACGTGTGGACGGTAGGCCAAACTGGAGAAAAATGTATATAGATCCGTTGATTCAAACAAAAAGAGATAAGTGTGGAAAGGGCCCTGGTGGTGCCGTATAGAAATACAGAATTTTGCGTTTAATGAACCGACGACGTCAAAAGTGCAGCGTTATTTAACAATTAATGAATGAGGCTGAGTATCTTATGAAGAATTATAGAGATCGAGGAGGGTACTATCCGTCGAAGCCGTAGGCCGAGGCGGATAATACCCTCCGAGATCTCCATAATTCTTCAAATTATACGGAAGCCGAATTCAATAATTGTTTTATTATTCATTCAAAATAATTCCTAGTTAAAAAAAAAGCGAAAACATTTTTACCTCCATCGATCCATCGATGTTAAGTTCATCTTCGATAGTGCACGTTTAGGGTTGTTGAGCTCCGCAAATATTCTGCAAATAGCAGATGTCGCCCTTCGAGTTGTCTTCTTGCTGTTCTTGCCATGTTTTTAGCTATTATTTCGCCTAGTTCGTACTCTTGAAACGAGTGAAATGTCCGCCATTTTTGTTTCCACAACCAAAACAACTCAACCTCGTCCTCAGGTCTTCTCCGTTAACGGTGCATTAACTTGCAAAAACGCTGCATCTTTGACGTCATTTCCTCGCTAAACACAAAATTCTTCCAAATTTGGTCATCAGCAACTGGTTATGGTGAATTATGCGCGTGCTTTTAGCTAATCAGAATCGGGGAAATATTTTGAATGAATAATAATGCAGGTTAATGCACTGATAACCGAGAAGACCTTGGGACGAGGTTGAGTTGTTTTGGTTGTGAAAACAAAAATGGCGGACACTTCACTCTTTCAAGAGTAAGAACTAGCCGAAATAATGGCTAAAAACATGGCAAGAACAGCAAGAAGACAACTCGAAGGGCGACATCTGCTATTCGGAGAATATTTGTGGAGCTGAACAAGCCTAAACGTGCACTATCGAAGATGAACTTAACATCGATGGAGGTAAGCTTGCTTTAGCTATGTTTTTAAAGTAGGAATTCTTTTGAATGAATAATGAAACAAGTTTTGAATTCGGCTTTCGTATCATGTGAACAAGTATGGAGATCTCAGAGGGTGTTATCCGCCTCGGCCGATAACACCCTCCTCGATCTCCATAATTCTTCATACGATACTCAGCCTCATTCATTAATTGTCAATTACCCCACGTTTCTGGACAGAAACTAATTTCCTTTTTTGTTTTGTGTTGTTTGTTTCTTTGTTTGATTGTTTGTTTTTTTCATTAGAGTTACACACAACCACCACAAAAGTAACACCTGCAAGTAAGTATCCTACGAAGATTAAAGTATAAAGTTGTACCGAAGCAAATTTCTGATTTTACTCCAATTTAGAGCTCGCTTAAAAACTCATCAATGATATTTTTGGTTTCTTCCAGCAGGGGCACCAAGTACCACTGACACAGAAATAACACCCACAAGTAAGTTTTATCAGGAGGTTGAAAGAACTTGGTATTTATGGGAAAAGATGGATACCTTTCCGACTTCAGTTAAGCGCTATAGAAAAACAGTCGACCCTCCCATAAGCGACCATGGTGGTCTCTTCGTAAAAGAGGTCCGGACACTCCTATTTTTGGAAGAGAATGTACCTTTTTACTTTTTGGAACAGACGTTACGATATGTGTACTGTAGTTCCATGTTGTCACTCACATTTCTTCGTGTGCACTGAGAAGCGAACAAAGAGATCACACCATGCGCTTATAGGAGATTAAAAACAATGGGAAATTATAAAACCGTCAGCCCCCAAAAACTTCCCTGGCTCCAGAGGTCCGTTCTCGAAATACCAATTATGAAATAAACCGTGCTCACGGTTCGATAAAGATCCCGAGACGCGAACTATAATACCAGGAATTAAATAAGAAAAAAAAAACCTCTGGAACCCAGGGTATCAAAAAGCCATCGCGGTCGCTAAAGAGGGTTGTTCCTTTACGAGAGGTTCTAATTAGAGCGCTTTGAATGGGAAAGTTTTAGTGCATTTGATACATACAGGTGGTTGGTCATTTACGAGAGGTGGTCGCACATGGAGGTTTGGACAGTATACTTTTTTGTCAGTTTATGATATCAGTCAGATAACAGTTGCCGTAGAAATAGGCTTCTCCGATGTTATATTTTCGGGGCTTCTAGTTACTCGTGTTTGTCCACTTTAAGTATAACTCATTATGTGCCGGGCACCTGAAGTAATGTGATTTCCGTTTTGAATAAACCGTAACGATGGAGATCACGGGTTATTCATGTCCATACTATTAACTGCAATTTCATGTCACTTCGATAATCCATCTTGGACAAACATGACTTCTCAGTTCAAGCGGATTGAACTCATACTGTTACGAACTTTGTAAAAGTATCGATTTCAGTCTCTAAAAGACAGGGCTAGAATTTCAAACTTCAGAAGCTTGGAATAAAGCCTTATTAGATAGCTGGTTTTTGAGACTTTGCAATCAGAAGGTAGAAAAAGTATTGAAAACCATGCATTTACAATTACTTTGAGGAAATCTGTATCGAATGATTGAAATAAAGGCCTTGAATACAAATTTCCACTTCTCAAATTCTGGAGTAGCGATTTTGAGTGTAGATTTGATTTCTCCTCCAATTTTTTTCCTTGTAAGCTAATTCTTCAATTGTTAAATTGTAGATTTAAGCTTGAATATTATAAGTGAAATCTTGTTTACTGAGTCTATTTACAAGCGGTAGAGATTTGGAATTCAAGATCATTTGGTGGATCATCTTGCATTAAAGCTTTTTTATGTGCAAAAAGCTTAGATTCAAGTCTCCTTACAAAAGCGGCTTAGATTGGAGTTTTCAAATTAAGGAAACTCAAATCTCACATAGTTGAGTAGCATTCATTATTTCAATGCTTTTTATGTTTTCATCTAATAATATACTTGTATTGGTACATTGTGAACGAAAATTATTTTCTTTACTCTTCAAGGGTTGTTTCTAGAGGCTTTTAGGTCAACTGGTTGCTCCATATTAGAACTTTTAAAAAGTAGATTAATTGGTTAAAGCATTTCCTCAATTAGTGAGAAAAAGTGCGTGAATAGACTATAATCAGCGTTGTTATAGGCAAAGTTAAAAGTTTCAGGATCTAATGGCTTGTTTGCTCTTACAGTCTAATGAGAAGGAGCTTCAATTTAGAGATTAGATTGCCAGAGTGAAAATTAGGACTTTGGGTTTCAAGAGATATTTCGCATTTGAAACGTTTGGATAAGTTGTATCATCGCTTTATAGAAGACAATTGAAATATATTTAATTTGTAGTCATCTTTACTGAAAATATACCTATTTCCTATCACTAATCTATTTCCTTTTTCATTGTTTGTAGGGGCGATGTACAGTAAACCTGAGCATCGGAGCATTTTTGTTATAGATATTGATATAAAGAGATAATCGACAGGCGTGGCAGCATGCGACAAAAAAGCTGTTCAAAATCAGGATTCAAAATCCTCTTCTGATCCACATCCTTCGTGTATAGCTTAGTCCAGCATTGAGGCGCAAAAAAGAGAGAAGATTGAGAATGATTAAAGGGAGACTGCGAATATTTACAAATTCTTACCCTTTCCTTGTTAGCTTAAAATAAGGAGTATTGTTTTATAAGACACACGTGACTCTCCTTCTAAGGTAGCCTATTCTAGGCTCTCAGATTGTGGGGATGAAGCACACATGTAAGTGAAAGGCGCGCGAAAAGGAGTTTCGATTGCAGTGTGCTACTCAAGCAAGAGATTTCTCAGCTATCTACTATAAAGAGTGGATTTAAATTGATGCCATGCATAACAAGGGGTAGTTTAATTTGCAACGAGTACGGATAGCGTCTCGCTATAAGTATCTTGATTCTACATGAATCACTGGAAATACAGAAGGGTGAACGCAGGGCCATGTTAGCCTGAGAAAACAGCCGACATTTCGCGACGCCACCACTTGTTTCCCCGCGCGAAATGACGTCTGAGAAACGACTGCAGAAATGTTTCACTGCCGAGATCTGGGTAGTGATTCTGATTGGTCGAAGCGTGAAGGAAATTTGCTTCAGCTAATCAGAAGCACTACCAGATCTGTCATGAGTATGGAATTTCTGCGATCGTTTGTCAGAAATCATTTCGCAGGAAACCCGATGGTGAGGTCCCGAAATGACGGCGTTTGTTCAGACTAGGG